AGGACGCAATTAGAGTGCGTGGTCGCGTGGGGGATGGACTTCACTGCACATAGTGGTGTTGACTTGCAATCTGAGTGGAGTATTGCAATTGCATTTTGGTATTCGTTCGCAGATTCTGTCGAGGCTGGTTCTAGTCTGCAGTGGTCGAGGTATGAAATAAGGGATTCTGAAGGCAAGAGTTATGCATGTGTACTGAGCATGGAAGCAGGTTATTCATGGAGGCTCTAGTCGGAGCAGCAACTGCGATGTCAGTTGCAGCATCACTTTCTAGGTTGTTTGCGGTGATTACTAACGAGATTTGGAGGTTAAGTTGACCGCTGCAGTCGCGTGGTGCTAATGTTGATCCGACAGTGGTACTTCTCGGTGCGACTGGTGACAAATGCATCTTCGATAATGAACAATTCTTGTGTATTTTTTCGATATGTATTTCTCTTATGTTTTGATTCACTATTCGTATTGTTGTTGTGTAATTATGGTTGTGGAGGTTTATGTTTTTGAATAAAGTTTGGTGGTATTTTGAAATATGGTGTGGGTAACTGTTGATTTAAATTTGTGTAGGGGCATGTTTAATGTGTGTGCGTATGTGTGTGTGTGTTGATGTAGTATTTTCGAAAGTGTACGAATCACGCCAGAGTAATACAAAAGATTATCGTTACCACAAAGACCAAATGTTAAAATCTATCAATTTCTATTGTTACGGTGTTTATCTAAGGCAGGTCAAATCAATGTTCAAGAGTGCACAGTAAAATGAAATTATAAAAAGGCATGTAAATTCAGATAAAAAGACAGACTCAAATGTAATTCACATCAGTTAGATAATACTTCAATTGTTTCTAAATAGAACTCCTTATGGGACAATATTTTTCTACTTTTAAAAGAATCAATTTAATAGGAATTGTCGCCTTTCAGAACCGAGTTTACTCTCTAATTAATGCCTTATATTGTCACTTATAAAATGTGTGTATTTGCGTTAAAGTAGTAAACCTATTTTTAAGAAATTTGACTCTTGACTTAGTTAAAAAGTGATTTTGATTTGGAATGTTTAACTTAAGATCCATGGCTTTCGTTCAAGGAACCAGATTTTAAACCTATAAACGCGTCCAAAGATAGTTTCAAAATCATTTTCTAATAGTGTTAAAAACTCCTAATTAACTGGACAAAGTGCTTTCGCCCTCTTTGGACAGTTAAAACTAACTAAGTTTAACATTGAGAATTAGACAGCTTTCGATCTTATCCAATGAAATTTAGTATTGAAAACTTATGTTAAAAATTAAAATATCCCCTAAAGTATTTCTACAGATACAATATATATATTATTATCATACCGATGGTTGTTATATTCTAGCCTTAAAATACTTAGCAAGACATGGAAAAAGAAACAAACATGTTGAAATTTATCATATTAAAATAGATTATAAAACTTAAAAGACGAGTAAAGTATGCAAGGTAATAAAAAAAGTAGACAAGGACAACACATGAAAGTAAACAAAGTAAGGCAAGTGCAAGAAAAATAAACGAAATAAAGCAAATGTGAAGTAAATAAAGGTAATGCGAAGACTGAATAAAACCTGCTCCAAATCGAAGACTTTAAATATGATAAAACTGGAAAGTATACTTTAACTTGTAAAGAAAATGGCGGCAAGATTAATGTACAAGTGCTCCAACCTAATCACAACTACGGTGTGATAATCCCCCAATGTGACGAATTATTGCTTTTACAAATGCTGAGTTTTGGCTTACTGTTGTAAACTAAGTTGGATGATTTGAAATGAAACTAGGAATGCCTATTTATAGAGAAAACTAAATCCTTAGAATTACAAAACTACCCCTAACTCCTTTTGGGTAGGACAAGAATAACAAAGATGGCGCCCACCATCCCTATCTTGGTGCCCTTCGTCTGAACTAATGTGGAAGATCATGGGATCATGGCAGTTTCCTTCTGGTTGCAAGCACACATGTCATGGCTGAAACAACCGGATGAGAAAATCATCAAGATGAAATCAATGAAGTCGCCATCAACCGTTTTTTATCCCACAGGAAGGGAAAGGTAAACATCGAGTAAACATGAGAAGGGTGAAATCAAGGTTTAATCACCAAGAGATCGGGTAAAGGAGTCTGTTATGCAAGGGGAAGGTATTAGAACCCTACACGCTCGTAGTACTCTACGGTATCCACTCATGTTGTTCTAATCAAATGGTGTGTTTCAAATCTAATGCGTTAGGGCTATAAGAAAATGCAAAGAGGGAATGCATGCAAAAGAAAAGAGAAAATAATATAGGGAAATTAAAGTCGTGCTCGTTCGGGCCTTACCCCAATGCCTACGTATCCCTTTTAAGGAATTAGAGCAGCCGTAGTTCGACTCAAAAGTTTTTGTTGGTTTATATTTGTTAATGAATGATATTAATTTCGCCTTCTGCTGGAACTCAACCTTTGGAGACTCATGCGTCAACGCAGAAGTGAATTAACATGTCCTTTTGAAAGAGTTTGAAAGAAAATATCGAAGGCGCAAAAATTTTGTATTGGTTGATATCTTTTACCTTGAAAAGGGATTTGAAAGTTATTAGATCTTTTATGCATTTTCCAAGAAAAGAGTTTTAGTCTTAATGCAAAGATGCAAACGAAAGAAAAACATATAAGGGGAACTAGCTAGAATCTAATCCCTAATGTTATCATACAATGATGGTCCTATGGTCAAGGATAAAAGGGAAATCTCTATCCTATGTTAGCATGCATGGATACCTGTCATAATGTCTAGCTCAAAAGCTACTCTAATCGAGCGATCCTAAGGGAAGCATGATATAGCAAACAAATAAGCAAATGGGTGCTTTAGAAAAGGCACACAAACATGAGTAGCACATACTGACTCAAAGGGATGGGGGAAACAAGAGAAATGCTTTAGATAAGGGGAGCATATCAACTGAAGAAAACAAGCGGGAGACAGATGAAATAAAAAAGAAAATAAATGCTTTAGCTAAGAGGAAAGGATCACCCAAAGCAAACAAACGGGTAGCAAAGTATCAGCAATGGCCATTGCAAACTCCTGACAAAGTGTGGGGGTTGGTTGCGAACCCTTCTCCACATGACTGACTCAATACATACGATCTAAAATACTCTGAAGCATTGACGTACAACGTGAGCTAAGGATGACACGAACTAGAATGTGCGGGGGTTGGCTACTAACCCTCTCCGCTCACCTCCTTCTGAGGACTTATTATCTGTAATATAATTAGAGCATAAATGTAAACAAACATGCATAATACCTACTTCAAAGGCAGGATTTTAAACAAACACAAATAGCATACATAAAAGAGGTGCCTATTACATGACTTTAAACAGCGACTTCAAGCGCACATTCTTTATTTCCTACTTCTCATGATATATAGAAAGTAGTAAAGTTCCTACTTCTCATGGTATCTAGAAAGCAATAAAATGCTTAAATGAGATAAGAAAGAGAAAATATCAAACAAATATCAATCTTTAGTAAAGCGTATAAAAAAAAAGAAACCTGACGATCTTCACGAAAGCTTCACCCATAAAAGAAAAGAGTCATAAATCAAATGTTTAGAATAAGCATCGAGGCATCATCGATGTGAAAATAAATCACGAGCAGAAGGTGCGCCAAGCATATCTAAATACCCCACAATAAATCTGTATAAGACTCAAATCTTGTCAAGCAAAAGTAAATCACGAAATCTTGGCAACAAAATGATTACTAAACATAATCCATAATAGAAAATTCTAATCAAAATTCTAACAAAATAAATCTTAGAAAAATTCTATATATTCTATTACTATTTTTTTTATTATTTCTATCACTATAGTTTTTTTATTAGCAAAGTTGATAAAAAAGAATTAAAGAAGAAATATAAAAAAAAACAATGAACAGGGGGGGTGTGAAAAACGAATCAGGTGGTACTGTAGCAATTTGGGCACTAGGCCCATGCAGTTGAATCCACAATGTTGTTTTTGTTTCCAAAGCAATAGGCTACACAAAAACTAGTGGCAGTATGGGCCTCAATTAGAAGCAGTTCAGCCCACCTACCAATCTACCATAATCCAACATTATTCAACATCATATATCATTTGAATCATTATTAAAATGGATAAGAAATGAAAATAAATTATGAAAAATGAAGATAAACGGTGCATTTTGGTGAATTTTGTTAGGGTTAAAAATTGGTGTGACGTTCAACTTCTACATGAAGGACAAGCTCCCTCTTTCTTCTTCAACAAGCCGCGGCATCTTCGTCTTCCATGATCTGAAACATCTTCTCAATCTCTCACTTCGATTGGGAGAGGAAGAAGAGAGAATTTTTAGCGAGTGATTCCTCTGCCGTTGAAGAATGATGTGATTTCTGGTGAGTTTGTTATTTATACTTCTTTTAGATGAATGAAAATCGGTTAGGGGTTAGAAAATCAGTTAGATATTGATTTGATCTGAGTGGTTAATCTGAAAGTTAGTTAGAAAAAAATGAATGGTTGAGATTGAATTAGTTAATAACTGTCATGGATTATGTTAGAAGCTGCTGAGCTGGAAAATTGTTCTCTCATTTTGTGATATACTTTTCCTGATATTTTCTCTTGTATTTTCTAATAATTCCTTCTGTTTTATTGAACTTGCTTATTATTTCTGATTTTCTGATTTTTCTTCTAGTTTGATATTTCATGGTTTCCCTGTTTGGTTTTTCTTTCTGAATTTCTCTCTTCCTCATTGCTTTGGCAAATTTGATTTTCTCTTCTGCTTTTCTCAACTAATGCAGAGTGCTTAGGGTAGAGATGAAAGTTATTATCGCACAATTACAAACTGAGATTGACTTTCAAGTACAACAAGGTACTATTGAAGGATAGTTCGTAAGGCTTTTGATATGAGATTAGAATCGGTTTTGAGGCGTTTGGATATAAAAATGATCCGGTTTCAATCAGTTTTGCAGGGCTGCACATGCGGAATGCTACTGTCATGGATTGCTTATGTGAGTGAAACTACTTTGAACTGGCTATAGCTATTTTGAACTATGATAGATAAGTATTATATGTGTTTGGTTGGCTGAACTGAGTTTGTTAGTGCAAGTTGAAACTCGGGCAACAGGGCAGCATGTCATGATGACACGATTTAAGAGTAAGTCGATAAATTTCATGTGAAGCTTGAAGATTGTAAGGAGTCGGATTGGAAAGAAGCATAACGAGAAGAAATCCTTAAGATTAGATTCTTTCCATAATTTTTCTCTTTGCAAATTCTTCATGTAATGGTCTTGTATTTGTAGTGATCAAAACTTTGCAATAAATTTGAATCAGTTTCCCACTTGTATTTTCCCTCTCATTCTTGCCTTTAGACTTCCAATGAATGAATCCTTTATATTCACTTGAATATGGTGAAATTTTGTTTGAATTTTATGTAAGTTGGTGGGATTTTGATAATTGAAAGAAGATTGGAATGAATGATATTAAACTTGAAATCTTGAATCATTTTGAATGAACTTAAAAACTTGAATGGATATTTGAAAATGAATCTTCAAAGAACAAAAACACTCCACTTGTATTGTAAGCAACAAGTATAACAATGAATATACATCATTATTCTCTGTACCATGATTTAATGTTCTTGCCAATCAACCAATAAACTCTTAACTTGGTGACCAAAGATCCCACAAGGTGCGATGTCTGGAATAAAACTTGTATCCTAAGGAAGAAACCTCAACCAAACACAGTAGCTGAAAAACCCTTACTTTGACCGCACACAGGGAAGTAACCCCTAATGGCCTTATCTCTTGAGGAGAAAGAAGTTCAAGGTAACCATATGACTCAACCCTAATTCCACACTTCACTGCTTGCAGAATAACCAGAAGAGTCAGAGGTAATCAACTTTTTTGGGTATATATACCTCAGTCACTATGAAATCCTGATATCGCACAACCACTAAAAATTGAACTCTATGTACTTTATTGAAATGCAAAATGTATGTTATGTTAATGACCTAATGAAAAGATGTGAATGCGACGCTAAGCCTAAGCCAAATAAAAGTACAATTAGGAGGTTAAATTTTAGGGTACAACATCTGCCCCTATTTAATCGTCTTAAACCTGAAGATGAGATTGGCACCAGCCTTTCGAACTTTCAAGGTGGAAGAAGATTAAATACCAAAAGAATCTGAAGATTTGCACTCTGAAGCCAGTCAGATATCATTATATTTTTTGACTTTCTGTATTTTTGTTTTTTTTTTCTTCTTTTTTTTGGATTGCTGTAGTCATTTGGGTAAATCTCTTGGATATCTGGTCAAGGTTAGACATACACAAGAAAGAGACCGACCAAAGAAGGCTCTAATGAAGGAATTCTAATCGAAGGCGGACTTACTGGGGATACAAATATACATTGACTCTGAATAGAACACCGATCGAAGGCGAACTTACAAAGAAAAAAGACCAAACGAAGGGAACTCTTGAGAAATGATACTAGCCGAAGGTGGATTTAAAGGGGGAAGAATGCCTATCAAGGGTAAACTTACAAAGAAAAGAGACCAGTCGAAGGGGACTCCTAACAAAAGGTACCAACTGAAGGTGAATTTAAAAAGTGCCAGCCAAAGGTATAGTTCAAGATAAAGAAACCAGACGAAAGGGGAATCTTTAAAAAGGAATACTATGCCGAAGGAAGATTCCTAAGAAAAGAGTGCCAATCAAAGGCGAACTTACAAATGAAAAGAGACAATCCGAAGGGGACTCTTAACAAAAGATTCCAGCCGAAGGTGGATTTCAAGGGCAAAGAAACTAGCCGAAGGGGAATCTTTATCAAGGAATACTACGCTGAAGGTAGATTCCTAGGGAAAGAATGCCGATCAAAGTCAAACTTACAATGAAAAGAGACCATCCGAAGGGGACTCTAAACAAAAGGTACCAGCCGAAGGTGGATTTTAAGGGTGCCAGCCGAAGGTGCACTTCAAGATAAAGAAACCAGCCGCAGGGGAATCTTTATCAAGGAATACTATGTCGAAGGTAGATTCCAAGGGAAAAGACGGCTATCAAAGGCGAACTTATAATGAAAAGAGACCGGCCGAAGGGGACTCTTAACAAAAGGTACTAGCCGAAGATGGATTTCAAGGGTAAAGAAACCAACCGCAGGGGAATCCCTAATAAGGAATACTATGTCGAAGGTAGATTCATAGGAAAGAACACCGATCAAAGGGAGAACTTACAATGAAAAGAGACCAGCCGAAGGGGACTCTTAACAAAAGGTACCAACCGAAGGTGGATTTCAAGGGTAAAAAAACTAGTCGCGGGGTAATCTTTATTAAGGAATACTATGTCGAATGTAGATTCCTAAGAAAGAACGCTGATCAAAGGCAAACTTACAATGAAAAGACACTAGCCGAAGGGGATCTTAACAAAAGGTACTAGCCGAAGGTGGATTTTAAGGGTAAAGAAACCAGCCGCATAGGAATATTTATTAAGGAATACTATGCCGAAAGTAGATTCCTAGGGAAAGGACGTTGATCAAAGGAAAACTCACAGGGGATAAAGGTATGCATGTCTGGTCAGTGTTAAACACAGAAAAGTGAAATTGAGCATCAAAAAACAAATGTTCAGAGTTGATATCAAACACAAGAAAGATACCAACTGAAGAAATCCCCAATAAGAAAGGATGCATTCGCCTAAACAAGGATGCTAGACAACTAGAATTTGAAGAGATACTGAAGGAATCTTAATAGAGAAGGTTAGCTAATTAACAGAAGGAGAACCCGACTAGCATGGATACTAAAGGAAAATTGACTAAGCAGGACCATCAAAGAGTACCGAGCGAAGGTAAACTTTACAAGAGAAAGAGACCAGCCGAAGGGGACTCTAACAAGGATTTCCAAAAAAAATTGGGCTTTCGATAGGTTGCAAATGCGCAAGAAGTACAATATCCCTCAGGCTAGAAGCGGGGTGTAATTCATCAAAAGTGGAAATTACTTGAATTACCACACACCAAGTATGGATACTCAAATACTTGAGAAATAAGAAAGGTTACGCACCGGCTCTTACTCGCACTTAGGTGGCAAAGAAAATATGGGTAAAATAACCAAACGCTTGCAAGGGCAAGAGAAAACCACAACTTACTGGGGGCACGTAAAGCACCAAAGACCCGACTAGTGGTAAATCAAAACAAACTCAACTGGGGAAACAAAATAGGATCACCCTAATCTTGTTGTGGAGATAATTCAAATATTAGTGCATAAAAATTTGGTTACCACATGTGAACATTATTGGCTTTTTCCTTAATGCAAGGTTAAATTTCTTATATCGTAATGCTCCATACAATGGAAATGCTACGCTTTTTGGTAGATGTAATGTAATGATACATGTTTATCAATAAACTGGGGAAAGCACGTCAATAATCGGTTGCTGAGAAGACAATGAACTTCCGAACGATTATTCTTGCACATCTGATCTTCTATAAAGAAAAGGCAATCTGAACTTCAAAGGGGAACCAAGATTCGGAACCACCAACCTCTAAAGATTGATATAACTGAGGAAGTAACTTCCTGGAGAGAAATACTACAAAAATAAATTGCAGTTCAGAGAAAATCTTGAATTCTGATCAAACACCCAACTTCCTAGGGGACAAATCCTTTATCCTATGTTAGAAAGAGAAGAGCTTCGATGGGGATGGAAACTTTCTCACATAGAATTTCTTAACGAAGATAACTTCTACTTTGGAGTATAGAAATTCTTAAATAAAAATAATTATACTCATACCACATTGGGGATAACACCGTTGGGGGGGTAAAAAAATCTTCATTTGGGGAAGAAACAAACATCCTGGGACACAAACTCCATTGGGGATATCTCAACAAAATCTTTTATCACAGGGGATGAAAAGAGTTATGATTGACATTCCCATATACACCACACTGAGGAGACATGACACTTGCTCCATCAGGGAAAGAAAAACTTACTCCACTGGGGAATAATAGATAAGTTACTCTGGAAGTCCTCGAAATTCGACTTCGACTATGGATAAAGACTACCTCTTACACTGGGGAGCCAAAACTTTGGATGGTAACATCAACAATACCCATTGCACTGGGTGTAGCCATCTCAACAAGATTCAAGCTGACAAGGGTTTTTGTACTGTGGAGTAGAAATCACTTCATTGAGGATGATGGTTGTCCTCATGAGGATACCAAACTAGAATCTCCCATAGGTAAACATGAATCTCTTCAAGAACCTATGATATAGGAAGGTCGCACTGGAGAGAGAGGGTGCACCCATTAGTGAGGAGGAGAATGCATACTTCATGGGGAGAACGAGTGCAAACCTCACTGGGGAAGCCGCGGGATATCGACTTCAAGGGGAGTATATCAAGAATCTATGGTTGGTGAATAAAACATTTCTTCCGAGAAAACCTGGAGAGAAACAGACTGCAATGAGAAGGAGGAATTATACTCAGACGAGAGTACACCTTTATTGGGGAAAATACTGCAAAAAATGAATCGCAGTTCAGAGAAAATTTTGAACTCTGATCCAACTCCCAACTTCCTAAAGAAAAAGAAATCCAAAATTTCTTTCCAGGGATAAAGAGAACCTTGCTGGGAACTGGGACCTTCTGATGTAAGTCCTCAATAAAAGTGACTTTGACTGGGGAATCGTAGAAATTCTTAAATAAAAGAATTCTACCCAGGCCACACCGGGGATACTACCGTTGGGGAGTAACAATCTTCACTTGGAGAAGAGTAGGGTGTCTTTGGACCATAAGCTTGAGGTTCAGAACTCCATTGAGGAAATATTTCAACAATACTCTATCATTGGAGGTAAAATAACCCTAAGAGACATTTGATCGTGGGGATTGTACTTATGTATCCAATGATTCGGACTGCAAGTGCACAATCTTATCGTGTAGTTTTAAAAGATATCGAACCACAGAGACTGATGAATCGATCTACCGTCTTCTATCGTTACTTCGCAAATCTAAAGCTAATGAATATTTGATTGGGTTGTAGGGAGAACTAAATACTAAATTAAGTTGGATTTTTAATAATCAATGAGCTTAATTACCAGTATGCAATAGTCGTACCTCGGGAACTAGCGACCTGTTGGGCGTCTTTATATTTTCAAAACAGCTTTCAGTAAAACTTATTTAGTTTAAAAACCCTCGTCTCACACTGTCGTTTTGTTGATCTAGGCTATGCAGTTAAGTCCTAACGTACGCTTCCGCCATCCCGCAGGAGTTAAAAACACTTTTTGAAAACTAAATAAAATCTTAATTAACT